TTACATGGGTTACATGACTAGGTTTCCTTCCTTTCTAGTTTCCAGTTGGGTTTGGCCATGGGGAGCACCAGCAGAAGATTGAGAGAGAGGTGGGAGTTAGGTTAGGATGTTTATTCTAACAAGTATAATCATAGTTATCTATTGCTGCTCAACAAAGTATTCTTAATTTAGTGGTATAAAATAACCATTTTATCATGATCAATTCCTCACCCAACTTTTGTGGGACAGAAATTTAGACAGCATAGTGAGGATGACTTGTCTTTGCAATGTTTAGAATCTTATCTGTCACTCAGAATCTGAAGGTGGCTTTACATCTGGGAGCTGAAGTTATTCTAAAGGCACGTGCACTTGAATGTCTATCAGCTGATGCTAGTTATTTACTGTTTGAGATTTCAGCTGAATGGTTGACCAAAACATCTATGGGTAGCCTCTCCATGTAGCCTCCTTACCTTGGTGAATTGGGTGAGTTTGGGCTTACTCATAGCATGGCAGCTGGGTTCCAATAGTGAGTATCCCCGAGAAAAAGGTGGACGCACATGGCATTTTTATGCCCTACCCTTGGAAGTTGCATATGTCACTTCCAACATGTATGATTAGCTCTGATCAGATTGGAGGGGAGGAAACACAGTCCCCATCACTTCATGATAAGAATGTCAAAGCTGCATTTTCAGAAGAGCGTGTGGGATGAGAATGATTTTGCAGTCATCCTTGGAAAATACAATGGGTCACAAGATTGAGATTTGAGGACTAAGTTTGCATACATAAGTATGGCTCAACTGGAAAGGATATGCCTATAAGGGAAGGGACACACTGAAGAATTTATATTAAAATGTCAAGAAAGAAATATGTCACAACCGAGGGCACCTCCAGGGCTTACAATACAAATGAGTGAATGAATGGTTGAATATTGAATGCAAAACAGAATTCCTAAAACACCCCAGCTCTTCCCCTAGTTTCTAAAAAAGAGATTTGAGTATTTTTAAGAAAGTATTAACTTGAGCACATGGTGTATGTGTGGAAGAAGTTCCTCCTTTTTTGTGGAAGAGGACATTGTGAGGACACTGTGGATTTCGGGACCTTTTTAGCCACGAAAGAAAATGCTTGGTGTTTCTCCTTTTGTAATTCCAGTAATCTTGCTGTAGCATGCAAAGCAGTTTTCAGATGGGTAGAAGGCAGAATTTACTTCTTCTGGTGTAATGCCAGAAAGATAGTTACTGCTGTGTCCATAAAGATTTTCAGAGGGTCTTTGACAAATAGAAGGCCAAAACCAAGGTTCCGCAAATGTGTATAGCTCAGTAGGGTTATGGAATTGTAGAAGCAAAGAGGAGGTCTTGAAACCTGTTTATGGTTCAACCCCAGCATTTTGCAGGTGCGGAAGCAGGAGATGAGAGATTAAGTGGCACACCTGAGGCCTGCACTCTCTGGCCTTCCGCCATGTATCGCCTGTTTGAAATTGGTCTCAACCCAAACTCCACTATTCTCAGAGGTGTATTTTAAAATTAAACTTTATTTTTAGATCATTGTAGATTTATATGCAACTGAAATAATACCCAGAAAGAGATCTGACAATTACTAAGAAAGTATTAAGAGATCCCATGTGCATTTCACCGTTTCCCCCAATGACACGTAAGTGGAATCACACAGTATGTAAGCTTTTTAAATTGTTTATTTCACTCAGTTTATTCCTCTAGAGATTTATCCAGGTTGTTGAGTATATCAATGATTTGCTCATTTTATTTCTGGGTATTTCATGTATGATATGCCATTGTGTAACTATTCATCTGTTAAAAAACAACTGGATTGGTTCCAGGTTTGTACTATTACGAATGAAGCTTTTATAAACACTCATGTGCAGGTTCTTGTGTGAACACAGTGTTAATGTGGGATGGCAGTTGCATGTCTTTGTTCTTAAGAAACTGCCAAGCTGTTTCATGTTTGAAGGTGGCTTTATATCTGGAAGCTGGAGTTATCTAACGGCACGTTCACTTGAATGTCATTCATTCAAGTGTCTACCATTTTTTCTTTCTTTCTTTTTTTTCTGAGACAGTGTCTCACTCGGTCACCCAGGCTAGAGGGCAGTGGCGTGATCTTGGTTCACTGCAACCTCCACCTCTCAGGCTCAAGCAATCCTCCCACCTCAGCCTCCCAAGTAGCTGGGATCACAGATGCAAACCACCACACATAACTAATTTTTGTATTTTTCGTAGAGATGGGATTTTGCCACATTTCCCAGGCTCAAACTTTTGAGCTCAAGCAATCCACTAGCCTCAGCCTCTTCAAATGCTGGGGTGACAGGCATGAGCCACTGTGCCCAGTTGCATGTTTAAGAAACTGCCAAACTGAATTCCAGAGTGGCTATATCATTTATATCTTCACCAGTAATGTACAGGTGATTTAGTTTCTCAACATTTCCACCAGCACTTGGTGTTATCACTATTTTTTAATTTTGGCTATTCTAATCGGTGTACAATGCTACCTTTCGTGGTTTTAATTTGAACTTTCTGAATAATTAATGGTGTTGAGCATCTTTTCATGTGCTTATTTGCCATCTGCAGTTCTTCTTTGGTGAAATGTCTCAGTGATATATTTTTACATGTTTAATATGAACAATGTCAATCTCCCCACTCTCTCATCCACATTCTAGGTCTTGTTTGCCAAAGTTCTAGTCGCTGATTTTCACAAAGGGAAACCAAATTGCACACCATGTTCCAGCCCCACTAGCCTTCTGTCAGTGCTCAAGCCTGTCCAATTCTTCGTGGGTTTTGTTTGTTTGTTTGTTTGTTTGTTTGTTTTTTGAGATGGAGTTTCACTCTTGTTGCCCAGGCTAGAGTGTAATGGCGTGATCTCAGCTCACTGCAACCTCTGCCTTCTGGGTTTAAGTGATTCTCCTGCCTTAGCCTCTTGACTAGCTGGGATTACACGCCACCATGCCTGGCTGTTTTTGTTTTTTTTTTTTAATATATATTTTTAGTAGAGATGGGGTTTCTCCATGTTGATCAGGCTGGTCTTGAACTCCCAAACTCAGGTGATCTGCCCACCTCGGCCTCCCAAAGTGCTGGGATTACTGGCATTAGCCACCACGCCTGGACAACTCTTCTTGTTTAACTAGAAAGAACAGTGGCTCTGAGACCAAGCTGCTTGGCTGTTCATGTGGCTGGCCCTTCTGTGCTTTGGGTCTCAGCTTAAAGGCCTGTTCTTAAGTGCTCTCTGGCCTCCCTAACTGTTCCTCTCTCACGGCTCTGTTTCCCTTCCCTCATGTTTAGTCTAGTCTACAATTTTACTCATTTGCTTGCTTGTCACTGCCTTTGCTTACACCATAGTGTGGAAGCTCCGTGAAGCCAGGGAGGGACCTTGTGTCTTTCCTCACTGGAAGCCCTGGCTCCTGGGCCAAGTACCAATTATGTAATAAATTTTCAGATTTGGTGAGTTAATAAGTACATTTCAGGGCTGCTTCATCTAAATTTGGAATTAATGTGGACTTTTCCCCCTTTGAATGTGTTTTCTACTGTTTTCCTTTTAACATTATCTAGTATTGCTACTATCACCCTCCCTGGGTTAAACTAAAACATACGTCATATTTTACCATGTGAAGCACTCTGTAGTAGGAAGGTTCTATTTATATAATGAGTTGGCATTCAGCCATTAAACATATTAGATGAATATTTCACATTTAAAATTTTAAATTTAATAATTTTGTCTCTTTTATTTTCTGTTGCTATAACAGAATACCTGAAAATAGGATGTTTATTTAATATTTGCCATGAAACAAACCTCTTGTTTATTTGATTAATCAAAAAAATAAAATAAGCTGCAGAGGAACAATTTTTTTTTGGCAACAAAGTTTTATTGCAAAATAAGAAATTGATATAAAAACGGGATATAAGAAGCAGGGAGGAGGAGGGGAAGGGGTGGGGTGAAAATGAAGATGTGCTTGCAGAATGTAAAAGACATTGACCCTTCCAGCTGGATGCGGTGGCTCATGCTTGTAATCCCAGCACTCTGGGAGGCTGAGGCAGGCGGGCTGCTTGAGCCCAGGAGTTTGAGACCAGCCTAGCCAACATTGTGAGACTCCACGTCTACAAAACATGTAAAAATTAGCCGGCCATGGTGCCATGAGCCTGTGGTCCCAGCTACTCAAAAGGCTGAGGCAGAAGGATCACTTGAGCAGAGGAAGTGAAGGCTATGGTGAGCCAAGATCACCCCACTGCACTCCAGCCGGGGCAACAGAGCAAGACCCTGTCTCAAAGAAAAAAGAAAAGAAATTGACCCTGAGCATAAAACAAGTCTTGGTGGATCCAGATCATCATATACAAGAAATGAAATTTCCAGGGTGTGGGATGGGCTGAAATTTCCTTTTAGGTACTAAGGTTCACGAAGAGGTTGTCAGAGAGGATTTGGTCAGGCAAGCAGAGACTTGGCGATGCCCTCTACCTAACCAGCTGCCCAACTGTAGAAACTACCAACCCACTGACCAACAGGGACAGGGAACAAGCACCCTCAAGGGGGTCAAGTTCAAGACCCCACATAATAAAAGGTGGTTTCAAGGCCAGGCATACATTATTTCATTCACCCTCACAACATACCGTGAGGTAGGTACAAATGCCAGGATTTCATAGATATAAAACTTGAAGTTAGAGGAAATTAAAGAGTGTGAGACAGCTTCCCTGGTTAGTATGGTGAAGAAGTGGCCCCCCCCTACCGTGTGGTTGATTGCAAACTAACCTTTACTTGCAAGAAAAATGCTTACATCTCCCAAATATCTCTCACAGTAAAAACCTTAAAATCAAAGCTGGTATGTTCTAATCCCCATCCTCCTCCCTACAACAAAACACAAGTGCAGGCCAACATCCTCAGTCGAGCTCCAGGACAAAGCAAACAGAAGTCCTGGGTGTTTCTGACACATACCTATGGCAAGCAAGGGTTCAAGAATACAAAACCCAAAATGGCAGGGGAGGGAAGAGATGGAGTAGGAGGCTGTCAGTGGGAAACAAGAAGTGGAGAATGTCAGTCTGAGTCAGTTCCTCTCTCTTGATCATTAGTTTTTTATGGTGGAGGGTGGACTGCCCCTTCTTGGACTTCAGGAGGCTGGAGTAGGCCCTGCTCCCCACTGGCTCTTTCCAACCTGGGCATCCTTGAGTTCCAAGGCCTCATTCAGCTCTTGGAACATCTCAAAGCGCTCACGTCTATGGAACTGAAGGGTGAAATATTCTCCATCCAGTGGGTTCTTCTTTGGCTGGAGAGAGGAGCTGGTGCTGTTCGGCAGTGCTCGCTTAGTGTTCCCGGGGCAGATCAGGGCAAGGCTCCCCTTTCTTGAGGAAATTCTCTCCCTCTGTGCACCAGTCTCTCCCAGGACAGGCACAAATGCTCACCTCAAAGCTGTTCCGTCCCAGCAGATCACCACTGGAGCCTTCCAGGGTGATGATAGTGAGGATGGGCCTCTGGTTCATGCTGCCCATTTAGGAACTGTTACACATGGGGTTGTAGTGGATGGTGGCACAATCAGAGCTGACTTCAGGCGGCTCATAGGGCACAGCCATACTATGTCAAAAGTGTTTCTGTCATCCAAATACTCCACGTGTAAATTTCCTTCCACTGATAAGATGCTGAGGAGGGGCCAGACCATAACTATCTGAGCAGTGCTCATGGTGGAGGCAGCGCCTCATGACCTCCGTCATGAGCTGCGACTGCTTGTAGATGGCTATAGCGCGGACATGGTTGCCAGGTGTGGGGTGTGGAATCAACCCACAGCTGCACAGGGCAGGTCTTAGCCAGCTGGCAAAACATCTTGTCGAGGGCAGGGGAGCATGTGCAAGTCACCGACTTCGCTGTCCCAGAATGCAAGAAGCCCAGACCTCCGTGGTGGGTTTTCTGCGAAGGGACAGAGGATGACAGAGGCCGGGGGGGGGGGGGGGTGGGTGGCTGGTGCGGGGGCGGCTTGTGTAGGAGCTGTCGGCACCTGGGCCAAGCCGGGAGGAGCCTCTGACACTGTAGGAGCTTCATCTGGAACCCGGTCTTGACTGAAACATTGTGCAGTGTCATCCGGGGACAGCATCAAATCATCCACGGGTTGGAAAAGCGAGGAGGACAGAATGTTGTTTTCAGGAAGTTGTTTCCATAGGTCTGAAAATGTTTCCTGACTGAGAGGGGGCCCGATGCTGAGATCGGACTGTGGCTCCTCCATGGCAGTAACCCCGAAGGCAGTCTGGCTGCCAGTCCTCAGGGAAGCGTGTCACTGTCCTGGAAAGCATGCTCCAAGCCAAGTGTTCTCGGAGCCCAGCAGCTACCTGCCCCCTGGATGGTGGCTCTAGACTTTTTGAATAGCAACAATTTTAAGTCCAAAGAGATATCAAGTTTGTTTTAAGGCTGTGGTAGTTGATACAGCATCTTGCTTCTACCCTCTGCAGTCTTCTCTGTGAACCACAGTGATACTTTTAGAAACCTGTTAGCTAACACAGGAGTTTTCTGTTTTAGTTTTTCATTGGTTCTTTACCTCCTCATTGTTTGTCATGTTTGTGGCCTGCAACAGTAGCATTTAAGATTTAAAAATGAAAGCCAAAAGCAAAAAAACAAAAAAACAAACAAACAAACAAAAAACCCCACAGACAACCAAACAAAAGCCTACTTTTTTCTAAAAGTTTAGGGGAAAATTTTTATTTCCCCACCCATCCACTGAATTGATGGAATTCACACTATTATGGCCATGACCATTTAAAAGAACCCAGGTGGGCCTGCAGCATAGTTTCCATGGCCACGAGTGTTACTTTGGTAGTGCATAGTCTCTATATCAAGTTTGCCTTGGACAAATAAATATCAAGAGGCTTAACTTAGTCATTCTAACAAAAGGCAACATCCCATGTTAATGCCTTCAATTCTGTGTTTTCTTAAAAAAAAAAAAAAAAAAAAAAAAAAAAACTCAATGGTGTCATATGTTCTACAGCTAAAAATTAAAACATTTGCTGATGAGCCATGAAAGCTAATAGACAGTATTAAAAGATTCATTTAAAAAATGCTAACAACCCTCCTACCCATCCAAGTATACCTAACATGCTAGTTAAAAACAAAAACCCTTACCCATCCACTCTCACCTGCATTGAATTAAAGAGAAAAGGAAAAAAAGAAAGAAATCTTACCACCCTAAAAGCAAGAAAATCTCCCAAATGACAAAAATCTTCCTTTGAAGAAAGCTACTCAGACTTCTGGAAACATAAAGAACTATTATAGAGCTTGTTATTTTGAGAAAGTAAACACTTTGTTGCACACATCAACAGTCAGTGTGCTCTGAGACAGAGACTGAGTAATTTATAATGAACAGAAATTTAGCTCACTGTTCTGAAGGCTGGGAAGTCCAAGAGCATGTGGCCAGAATCAGGGAAATGGAAAGGCCTTTGTGCTGCATCATCTCATAATGAAAGGCAGAAGAGAATACATGGGGGAGAGAGTGCATGAGAGGCTGGGCTTGCTTTTATAGTAAGCTGCTCTCGAGATAACTGACCCACTCCTGTGATAACTACATTGATCCATTCATGACTTATTAGGTCTCACTTCCCAACATTGTTATGTTGGGGATTAAGCTTCCAACATGTGAATTTCGTCATACACATTCAAACCATTGCATAATCTGATGCATGGTCTAATTCTGTAAAGTAAGTGTTTGTGTATGATTGTGGTATATAAGAATATGCACTAAAGTAACGTTCTGGGTTAAATTGTGTCCTCCCCCACCCAATTCATCTGTTCAAGTCCTAACCTCTAGTATCTTAGAATGTGATTGTGTTTGGAGAAAGGGGTTTTAAAGAGGCAATTAAGTTAAAATGAGGTCATCAGGATGGGCCCTAATTCAATATAAGAATTATATGTCCTTATAAGAAGAGAAAATTTGGACACAGACACACACAGAGAAATGGCCTTGTGAAATGCAAGGGAGAAGACAATCATTTACAAGCCAAAGAGGGAAGCATAGAAGAAACCAACCCTGCTTACACCCTGATCTTGGACTTCTAGCCTCCGGGATGGAGAGAATTAATTTCTTATTTGAGCCACTCAGTATGTGTTACTGTGTTATGGAACCTCTAGCAAACTAATAGAAGTATGTGATGGTAGAATTAGGTAAATCTACCTTTGATTCTCTGCATTTCCTGACTTCTATGAAATTAACTACAAATTTTGTCACTAAATTTATTTAATGCTATAATTACCTTAAACTAAGAGATGGTCAGGATGAATCTAGTGAGAAAACAAGAAATAAAGAAAGAGCAACCTGGCTAATTAGTTTCCCTGTTTCTCATTGAAGAATATGGAAGTAAAAATCAGATTCAGAGTTTAAGTTGATTGAGCCTTAAAGTTTTGATCAAAGAAAAATGTTCTGAACAGTTAGTCCTCTGAACAGACTATTCAACCAAGGCCTCTCTCTATTACCTGGAAGTGGATCCTCCATATGCTCCGTGAGATAGTGCTCCAATAATGATTCTGGGGGCATCCAAACTCTTGATTTGAGACGCAGAATAAACAGAACATACACATTCCTTAGTGTAACTTAGAAACAAATTCCACATGAGGGCTGCCCCAGTTCAAAAGGAATGATGGACATTAGCTCTGGAAGTTACCCAGCCACTAGAGAGTTGGTGGAGTTGACATATTCAACCTCTCACCTCATTAGCAGGGTCAGTTTGCTCAAACATCTTCTCCTTTCACTCCCTTGAATAAATGTAATGGTCCAAGAGTAGTCAGAGATGATTAGATAAAAATCTGTTGGACCTGGGGACCTTCGTCAACTGGTCCAATCCTCTCATTTTACAAGGGTGACAACTGGGACTCTGAAATGCTAAGGGTAATGTATATGTACATGTGTGCCTGCAGAATATTTATAGCAGTCTACCTCAGTCTGAAGTTAGAGATAAAGAATCCTCAGAGACATACCAAGCCTAAAATTTCTCATGCTATGAACAACTTTGGATTCTCTTGATAGGCCTTGTTTAATATCTCAGAGGAAAATAAATTTAAGGGATGTTCCAAAATTAATTGCTTATCTTATAAAGTTGGGCTAAAAGTTAAAATCCTATCAGTAGAACATATGGAAGATATAAATTGATTAATAGTTGGAGAAAACTGTACTATAAATGAAGCGTAACTCAGTCTCACCAGCAAATGGTCAATACTTACTCTTGATAAATTATTTTCTCTCTTCAACATGCATAGAAGGAGGTACTTGTTTTATATTCCTTTGGAAGTGATAAAGTAGGGAACTAATTTGTTTGATACATAAAGGGTTAAATAAACTACGGTGTGTTTCCATCATATGTACTCTAACTCTCAGACCTTACCCGTATGCCTATACACTAAGAACATTTTAGGATATAACATTGGGCAGGATGGTCCTTGCCCTTAAGGAGAGCTCAGTCTGCTAGATAAATTGGACACATGAGACACTGTTAAGGGGTCTCAAGGCTGTGATAAGAAAAGTTTATTCTTTTATTCCAAACTACCTATTCTAATTCGCTCTTCAAGTTCACGTTCAAGGAACAAAAAAGTTCTTCCTGACCTTTGGAAGAAATCTAGGACATGCCTCATGACCTTTCTGGTAAATTTCAAATAATGTCTTCTGGTCACTTCTAGAGACAACAAGTCTTGTTTCAGATTTCATTTAAAGATCAAGATTTCCCTTCTGACTAACTTAAGCCGTCTCCAGAGACACAGGCAGCTTCTCCATTCCCCTGCCCTGAAGCTCTGCCCTTCTTCTCCCCCTCACCGGCTGTGTCTGGTTCCTCTAAGGCTGCAGCCCCAGATGAAGGTGAGGGCTGGAGGGCTAAGAGGCAGGAAAGGGCTTGGCTGGCTTTCAGGTAATCTCATATTGGCTTCCTTGGGCCGGGGCAAGTGTTTGGCTGACAGTCTGTCCCATGGGTTATTTGGAGGCTCCCAGTAGGAACACAAAGCAACGTGCTCTGACATGAGTGATGTGTTTTCTTTCAAGTGGCTGCTTAAATCCCCTACCTCCAACCCCGGCAACCAAATGGTCCACCTCTCAGGTGGAATAATTACCCCTCCACAGAGTTCTTTGGGTGGAATTTGAAATGGCCGTCAACTGGTACCATCTTTCTCTCTCTGTCACTCTCTCTCTCAGACCAAAAGAAACACAGGAGAACACTGAACTATCAAGGCAGTGCAGCTGGCTCTCTGTGCAGCTGGTTGAGTTCTCTTTTCTCTGTTTTTGGCTAATTGTCACAGCTTCTGGCCTTTAAATCCTTCCGGAGTGCTTTGTTGCTCTGTCCCCTGAATCACAGGAGGCATAGATCAAACTGTTAGCTCATGAAAGCTCTGATTGCTAGGCTTGAGGAACAGTAAAGAATTCTCTACCTCTCTTCGATGTGGTAGGAAAGGCCCACCGCATACTAATAACACTCTCCAGAGAAATTTTTTTTCCCCTGGGTTCCAATTTATTAACTGAATACTTAACCATCACTAAAATAGTCTGGATATGGCCGGAAGCTAAAGCTTGTTTCTTCTCTACAAGTTTTGCATAGACATATAGCACCTCACTTTGGATTGCTGGATTGGTTGCTTTCTGGTCCTTAGCAAAAGCTAAAGTTGAGTCCCATCTTGTAAGACAAGCAAATATTCATTAATGTGACGAGTGAATGCTAGGATAGAGACTTGCAAAAGCTTTTGTAGCAAATACTACTAGTCTATACTAGGAAAGGAAGGTGTTAGTAAAAGCTTCCCATAAAGTTGGCACCTGAGCTGAGCTCCAAGCCGTGAGAGTTAGACGAGAGGAAAAAGGACATTTCATGTGAGTTTGTTTGCAATTGCAGGGTCCATTTGGATCATTTATGGTTGCTTGCTACAGTAGGTAGTGTATTCTCATACTCTACATTTTTACCAAACAAAACACCAGCATTTAATACTGTGAAGTATTCTTGCCAAGAACAGTTGAACCTAGAGTCTGTAGAGCAAGCTTTTATTAATAGAACATACAGGAATAGAAGAACAGGTAAATGATATCAATACAAGGAAGCAAACAGACAAATCCGGAATAGGGGACCTTCTGCAGAACTGGCTTGTTTACTGTAAGATGGCAATGACCAGAGAAAAAGTTGGGAAAGGGGACAACTTCATGTAAGAGACACAGCAATCCAATGAAAATATATGGACTTTGTAGATGATGCCAAAGAATCATTAATCATTTTA